AGCACAAAAATGAATTATAAGTGATAGATGGTCTAGTGTTTAAAGGTCCAAAGCTAATAGTACCTCAACCTTTACGTAAAGAAATGTTTAGATGAGATTCATGAAAGACATTGTTGAACAGCTAAGTGCAAAAAAAATACAAGAAATAAACTGTTCTGGCCAGGGCTTTCCTCACAGCTAGAAGATAAGACTCCAGATGCGAAGAAGATAAGACAGCAACCCAAAGAACCCCTAATGGCACGTGATCCACCAAGCAGACCATGGGCAATGATTGTTACTGATCTATCAGCGATACGCGCTGTGTACGGTAGATAGTTTTTGGAAATGGATAGAAGTAGAGAAGCTCGAGAATCAAACTAGCAAGGCTGTAACTTATGTTCTTGAGCAGCACTTTGCAAAGTCAGTATCTCATACCTGATGAAGTTATTAGTGATGATGGTTCACAATTTTTATCAGATGAATTCACCCACTTGTGAAGGACTATGGATTCACTCGAACCACTTTCATTCCACATTATTCATAATCGAATGGACAACTTGAAAGAACTGTTCAAACAGTTAATAGGCTAATCTCTAATTCCAGAGACATAAATGAAGCATTGCTCAACTACCAAAATACACCTCAAGTCCTAAACAGCTCAGTTTCCAGCTCAGCTGTTGATGAGACAAAGGTTAAGACGATAACTAATTCCAACAACTGCAAACCTCTTAAAGCCTAATAGTCAAACAAAGATCAAAGAAAACCTAGACAAAATCAAAGAAATACAGAAAAGAAACGTTGATAGGCAAAGCACAAGAAAATAACAACAATGCAAAAGGGAGACGTGATAAGGATGAAGCATAGCAGTAGATGGGTGCCAACATCTACCGCTTGCACGTCTTAACGTTTATGCGCTCCTGGCATAATGGATCCTTACCAGATATTTTTAATAATATGTTTAAATATGCGAGTAGTGTGCTTAGATACAACACAATGTATGTAAGCAGGCAAAATCTACATAAAACAAAAGTACGAACAAACACTGGCAAACAGGCAATCTCTTTCACGGCAATTGACCTTTGGTCAAACCTTCTCTTGCAGCTTAAATCAGCTAGGAAGTTATCTTTTCCCAAACAATTGAAATATTTTCTACTCTCACAACAGTATTCTGAGTAATTTTTAACATCTACTTCCAATCTAAAATACTAAGTAACACTACTATATTCTTCATTTTTTTTCTTTATTATTTCAATTGTAACTTCTTGTATATTTCCATAACCTGAACAATAATTAGAGACACAAAGGCTGGGGGATAACTAGAAAACTTCCCAGTTAACTTAGCCCTCAGGCTCAATGATTTTAATTACGTACAATATTATTTACACATTTACTAAAACCCTCATTTACTGTACTATCAGCAAAAGTTGTAAAATTTCAACAACATGAGCGAAAAATAAATCTATCTATCAACAGCTCAGTGTTAGAATATAGTAGCCCTCGTCATATATTTCCTAGCTCATGTTTTTTAGAAAGGATACTTTGAAAAGAGCTGGAAGTAAGATAGCCTGTCTTTGAATTTTGAGACTAAATGAAAAAATGTTGTAACATATCACGAGTCAGAGATAAAGATATTTTAGAAAAAAATTAAAGGTGATAAAAGGTTCCATTTGGGAACGTATATCATTGGCATCGTTCTTGTTAGTAAGACTTCGAATACTATTGCGGATTTTTTCGATTCGAAAGACAATTATTATTTATTCTACTTTTTATGGAAGAGTAGTAGTAGCTCTAGAAAGCAGAATCAAAGAATAATTGGACCGGCTTCTTCTTGCTACGTTGTAACATACACTTATATATATAGAAAAAAATACATGACTATATGCAAAAACATGAAAGTTTTTAAATATGTGCCCATTGATGCATATCTCAAAGGAATAATTGTTTTCAAAAGGTTTCACCTTTTTATCCATAAAGAATGATAAAGAATGATTTGTTTGCTTATATAAAAGATTCCTTTTATGCCCAAAAGTTAAAATATTTAAATGAATATGAATTAATTAACATCAGATACTTCAAAACCTTATCATTTGAGGTTACCTGCATTGAAGCAAAGCATAGCAGGTACTTCTTAGGTCAAAAGTTAGAATATTTGAATAAATAATATGAATTTACGCCACATATTTCAAAACCTTATCATTTGAAGCTACCTGCATTACGGCAAGGCACAGTAGTCTTTGTTAATTTTCAATAAATACTGACATTCATATTTTAGGACTGTTTCCATTTTTGTATCTCATTAAATATTTGTATATGTGCATAAACATATACTACAAACCTATACTACATATACTACTACAAATTATATAAATACATATTTATAGGACATATTTATAAATGATATATATTTAATTTGTCTTGTGATCCTGCATAATTATTATTGTATATTTGTTTACTCTAATGAACTAATTATCCAGGTTAACCCTTTTGTTATATTATAATTAGCTGTCACCTATTTCAAAATTATTCTGACTTTATTTCGTGAAACTTTAGTAATACTAATTAGCACAATTTAATGCAAATTCCATCGTTTTCTATTGTTTAACTAGCACTATTTTGTACTATTTAGTAATTAGTGTTTCACGGATTTACAGTGGTCACTCTTTAATTGTCCTCGTCTTTGCATTGCTAATGTTTTTTTCTCTTTTTTAAGCAAAACATTGACATTCATGGTGGAGAGCGACCGAATCAACCGACAGAACATGATGAAGTAAGTCGAAAACATTTTAAAGCGGARTTTCCGCGCGARAAGATACAATACTTAAGAAWAATTGCTTGCCCATCGAGTTGATTTTTCAAGGCTTGATTACATCACTTCCGTCTGTCCTTGTACACACCACARGGATTGCATTGAAACCAAAACTCTCAAATAGAACACATCGCTTTGGRACAAAATTAAAGTCAAGATCAGCAGCAAAACATTTTCATGCAGTAATGTAGGATCAAAAAGTAATGTTTAAGAATTGTTTTTATTTAAGAAATTTTTTTTTCTATATTTGTTCGGATCAGCGAATCAAAGACGACTTTCTTTCTATAGTTAATATTTCCATACATAATAAATTATAAGTTCTGAATAGCTAGTATTATTACACAAAATAAGCGCGCTTATTTTGTGTTGCTTGTCAGTTGAGGACATGTTCGTGTGTAAGATTTTGGATCTTTCAGTCAATAAGCAAAAAAGAATATTCCAGAACATCTACAAAGGTTGATTACTGCAAAGAAAATAATTGTGTTGCATTGATAAATATGTCTCTTATTCTTGTGAATTAGAACTGAATGTAAGCCTATATTTTTCAAAACCTCAAAGCAAGACTTTTACATATCGTTTGCTTAAAGGGATCCTTTCTTCTAAGAAGGAAATATCTATTTTAAAAGTATGCTTTTTCAAATTTAACACGTTTTCTGATGCTTTGAAGGCTTAAAATATCGAATCCATTTTTCTTGCAAACGAATTCTTGCTAGATCTGATCCTGGCTCCGAAGACGATAGAAATTAAAAAAAAAAGTGAAGAGTATTTCTCTTGCCAGAAAGGATCATATCTACTTACAGCATTATTTTTTCCAAGGTTTTCTTTGATTTCTCCACCAGCCCCCCCTGAAGCATAATTAATGAACAGTCCCTAAGTGAAAAAAATTTTTTTTTTTCATTCAACATTACTTTAACTGTCGAGCTGCCAAACGCTGTTTTTAATTTCTAGATAAACTGCTTGAACAACGTACCTTAAAATTATGAATTAAATTTTTTAAGTTATTGAAGCAGCTCATCTATAATGTAAATTTAAACAACTCTCTTCTTAGTTTTCAAGAGATATTTACAACTGCATTTGATTTTAATTCTTTGTTTATCGGGAATGATGAAAAGGCACTTAACGTTTATTCCATGAACGATGCATAGATTCTTAAAGTCATCTTGATACATCTTCATTTGATATATTTTCATGTTCGTAAATATTTCTCACAGATTCAGAATTTTTACCGAAATTTCTCATTACAATTTTAAAATTTGATTGAAAATAATATCAAAAAATAATAATATCATATTTAAGATATATAACTTCTACGGCTGAAAATCAAATGACCTATACTTCTGAAGGAATATGTATTGCATATCAGTTATACATCAATACTATAAGTTTTCAGCCTTTTTTTAAGCAATCCAGCGATTGGGAAGAGAAAACAGTTCGATACAAACATGTGTGGTTCGAAGACAAGCTCCATTGTTGACATACGAAAATGCCAAAAAAATGCCTAACTTCTATGACTGAAAATCATATGGTCTGTACTTCGGAACCAACCCATATTTGAGCATATTATTCCTGCATAAAAATGTATATTTTTGACTAAATTTTTATTAGGGCCTAGAAGTCACTTAGATCATGTCATATAAAAAATTCAAATTGGTAGTCCTTTTTATTTTAATTTTCAGTAAATGATGATTTATGAATTTGCTAATTTTGAAAATGCTAATTTTATCTACCCTCAAAAAACCCATACATAGAACATGCACATTATTACCGTTCTATTCCGAGTCAGTAGCCGCCATTTTGTATTTGCAATAATTAACAAGAATAAGTAATTTGATGAAAGGATGCTAAAAACTTAAAATGGTAAAGAAAGATCCATTTTTTAATATTTTTTGCTTGCCAATTCATGTTAAAGAAACGGTATTGTTGTTTTTTGTTATCAAATTGATTTCGGACTGAAAGAAAAGCCTCTCTTGATCACTTGAGCTTCACGCTAATTCTGATAACTATATTGCCGGATTGGTAAAAATACGGAGAGCGCACTTCCGCTATTAAACCTATTTGAGATTCTTACAGTAGAAAATATATATACAAAAATACACTTCAGTTACTTAAGTTTTCATGCCAATGGCATAATAAGCAGCTCCCATGCCTCTTTGACAACTACTTTCGATATGCAAGCGAAGTCCACTCCCACAACACTAGATTTGCACGTTTCAGAACCAACATTGATAAAAAAACAACATCAGCTTTGGGAATCTATTGTTGCAGCAAATTGGGCAGCAAATTCCAAAAAACTTAAGCAGCACCTATTACTAAAGCAATTTTATGTACCATCTAATACATGACCGGGTTGGCAGTTGTTATAACCGTTGTTTGTCTACTGTTTGTATTTCATCTAATTTTTTTTTCTCGTGACTGGGACCTAACTAGGAAACTATATGGCTTATTTAGGCTCTAGACATTTCCTTTCATTACGCACTTATATTTAGCTTTATTTATTTGACCAAATGAGTATTTCCTTTCTTTTCAATGATCTAAAGATATAATTTAATGTAATTTAACATAAAAAAGAAATGTGAATAAAGATGTATTGTATTGTATTGTATTGAAAGTGCTTTTTATTTACTTTTCATGTGTTTAACATTTCCTTAGGAACCAATTGCAAACGACAATGCACCAGCAAATTCTTCGACATCGTCTGTCAACGCCAATTCTTTAAATGGTGACTTTAATGCAATTCAAAGACAGGTAAGCACTAATATGCTTTATCAAAGCAACATCCTTTCTTTTTTGTCATATATATGTTACTATATATAGTAAAATTTGTAAAGACGTGTGCTAAATATAAAGTACACCTGAGAGAAAGCTTCTGCCAATTTTTAAAAGCATTTCTTTCGCCAAACCCTCCAACCCTCCAACCCTCCAACCCTCCAACCCTCCAACCCTCCAACCCTCCAACCCTCC